AAGTGGTCAGCATGTGGCAATTTCCAGGGGTCCCTGAGACAGCTCATGTGGTTGCTGTGCTCACTGCTGCCATTGTTGGGGCCCACTCCATCTCTCCTCACACATCTTACTCCACTGGCAATGCTCTCTCTGGCTTGTTTGCATATGATGAGACTACCTTTCACTGCCCCACTCAGCCTGTAGGCCTGACAGGCCCCCTTCCCCCTCGACGCAGCCACCTCCCAGCCACAGCCCGGCCACAGTGACCTCTTGTCTCCCCCCAACACACCTCCACCCACTGCTGCCCAGCCTCACCCACACGTATAGTGCACACTGAATCTGTTCTTGCCACAGTCGTCTTGGGTGGTGACTCCTCACTCCCTAAGCCAGAGGATATAGCTCAGCCTTTATTTATTATTTTTTAATCCTCACCCGAAGATATTTTTCCATTGATTTTTAGAGAGAGGGAAAGACAGAGAAATATCGATGTGAGAGAAACACATCGATTGGTTGCCTCCTGCATGCACCCTGTCTAGGGCCCAGGCTGGGGAGGAGCCTGCAACTGAGGTATGTGCCCTTGACCGGAATCGAACCTGGGACCCTTTGGTCCACAGGATGATGCTCTGTCCACTGAGCCAAACTGGCTAGGGCATAGCTCAGTCTTTATCATGGGGCTCTTTGGGGCAGCCCTGCTGGGACTAACCACTCCCCTTCATGGGAGTCCCAGTCCTTCTGTCTTTTTGTCTGTCCTTCTCCAGCCAGCTGAGGGTAGAGGTTGGCGCCCCTCCTGTCAGCCCTCTGCTCCTCAGCTCTCTTCCCGGAGGGTTCACACAACAGGCCTCGCCCAGGTCCCAGTCTCCTTCATTCCTACAGTTTCCTCAAGTGTCTCTAATTCAGTGTCTTCAAAGTGGCCCTCATTATCTTCTCCCTACCTTCTCCTCCCCACATTCATGATAGCCCCTAATCCAACAGGTCACCAGGCCAGGGGCCTGAAAATTGTGTGGCCCCTCCATCTCCAGACACTGAGCTCTCCTAGGTCCCGTCCTTTCTCACAGCTCTACACTCGCTCTTCCCCTGCCTCCTCTGCCTGTGAATAGTTGCCTGTCCTCTAAGCCAGGGGTGGGGAACGTCTGGCCCGTGGGCCGTATAAGGCCTGCAAAACCATTTGGCAGTGAAATCATTTGCCAAGGCAACCGCAGGTGGGACTCGATGTTCAATAAATCTAGGAGCTTTTTTCATAGCAACATAAATTATATTAAGTGAATAATAGTAAGCGGATGATGTTATATTCAAATGGCCCTTGGCAGAAAAAAAGGTCCCTCACCCCTGCCTAAGCCCTGGCTCTGAGGACACCTGTGCAGTAGCCCCATCTGCCTCGGGCATGGGAATGGGTGCTGTGAGGCTGTAAGCACCTGGCTCAGCCCAGGCATGGCAGGGACATCAGGTACCTGGCTGCCAAGGAGGCCTCTGTACCAACCAGCCCTGTGGTGCAGGTTCTTTCTGATGTGTTACCTGTTTGTGAACTTGGCCTGTGCTGTGCAGACGCTCCTGAGGACCCCCAACTGGCGACCCCGGTTCAAGTACTATCACTGGTGAGCACCAACTGGTCTCCTGAACCAAGTCCTCTGACATAAGTGCTATGGGGAAGCCAGGAGACCCATTCAGGATGGGGTTTGAGTTTCCTGGGCTGTAGTTGCTATTGGTGAGAAATTGGGGGGCTGGGGAGCTTGGTCTGGGGCCATACTGGTTTTTCCCTGATTCTTGTTCTTCCCCACTCTCTGGCCCAGGGCATTGTCTTTCCTGGGCATGAGCCTCTGCCTGACCCTTATGTTTGTTTCCTCCTGGTACTATGCCCTGGTCGCCATGCTCATTGCGGGCATGATCTACAAGTACATTGAGTACCAAGGGTGAGTGAGGGGTTGCCACCTGGTCGGGGCAGGTGGGGTGATCTGTATGTTGGGTTGGGGGAAGCTGAGCCATCCTCTAGCCACCATAGGTGCGGGGCTGGGAGGTTGGGGGGCTTTGATTCAGGGCCTGGCCCCCTTCCATCTCACTACACCTGGACAGAGTCCCCTGAGTGGGACCAGGGGCTCACCAACTGACGGTGGCCTCTGTAGGGCTGAGAAGGAATGGGGTGACGGGATCCGAGGTCTGTCCCTGAGTGCTGCCCGCTATGCACTGTTGCGGCTAGAGGAGGGGCCTCCTCACACCAAGAACTGGCGGTGAGTTCACACCCAGACTGGCAAAGGCCACTCTAGGTTCTCAGGGGGCACTCTGAGGGTGGGACAGTCGAGAGGTGCTGGCTCCCCTTCCTGATCCATGTTCCCCATCCTGGGGTGGCCAGGGGTGCCCTTGGATCTCTGCTCCCCAAACCTGTGGGAGCCTGTGAATTGAGAGGGAAAGAAGAAACGTGGCTCCTTGGAAACCTCTGCCCTGGTCTCAGGCTGCCTCACTGTCTGGCTCCTGCAGGCCTCAGCTGCTGGTGCTGCTGAAGCTGGACGAGGACCTTCACGTGAAGTACCCACGGCTCCTCACCTTCGCCTCTCAGCTGAAGGCCGGCAAGGGCCTGACCATCGTTGGTTCTGTCATCCAGGGAAGCTTCTTGGAGAGCTATGGCGAGGCCCAGGCTGCTGAGCAGGTGCCTGCCGCAGGGGGCACAGAGCTGAGCCAGACTCCAATGCCCAGGCTACAGCTGGCACATAGGGGAGGGGACCAGTTCTGGCCAGCCAGGTGGACAGCAGTGCTGCCACCTAAGAGCTGAAGCCAGGGCGGCTGTCCCATCTTAAAAACATGGCCTCTGGGTGGGCAGCTTGCCTCCTCCCCTTCCCCGCCCCCAGCAGAGGGGATGCTGATGGCCTTGACTTCTGAGCCTGGTGTGTTCCCCCCAGACAATCAAGAACATGATGGAGATTGAGAAGGTAAAGGGCTTCTGCCAGGTGGTGGTAGCCAACAAGGTGCGTGAGGGGCTGGCCCACCTCATCCAGTCTTGCGGCCTGGGCGGCATGAGGCATAACTCCGTGGTCCTGGGCTGGCCCTATGGCTGGCGACAGAGCGAGGACCCACGTGCCTGGAAGACCTTCATTGGTGCGTAAGGGGCCGGGATCTGGGCTCAGCCATGGGGACGGGGGCCGGGGCTCAAGTGAAAGCAGGGCTGCAGGCTGGCAGTCAGCAGTGTCCCTCCTCCCCAGACACCGTGCGCTGCACCACAGCTGCCCACCTGGCCCTGCTTGTGCCCAAGAACATTGCCTTCTACCCCAGCAACCACGAGCGCTACCTGGAGGGCCACATTGACGTGTGGTGGATCGTGCATGATGGCGGCATGCTCATGCTCTTACCCTTCCTGCTGCGCCAGCACAAGGTATGCCAGGGGGGTGCACCTGGGTGAGGGGGCTGGGCCCTTGGATGGGTGGGGTGTGACTGAAACACCCAACTGCTCCGTTGCCATAGGTTTGGAGAAAGTGCCGGATGCGCATCTTCACCGTGGCCCAGATGGATGACAACAGCATCCAGATGAAGAAGGATCTGGCCGTCTTCCTGTACCACCTACGCCTTGAGGCAGAGGTGGAGGTGGTGGAGATGGTGAGCCACCCACCCCGATGTGGCCCTGTGGGTACCCTGCCCCGCACAGCCCAGTTCTCATGGCCCACCCTCTCCCCAGCACAACAGCGACATCTCTGCGTATACCTATGAGCGGACACTGATGATGGAGCAGCGGTCCCAGATGCTGCGGCAGATGAGGCTGACCAAGACTGAGCGGGAGCGAGAAGTCAGTGGCCTAGTTCAGGGCATGGGCAGGGGGCTGGGTCAGGCCTTTGGAGACGCCATCGGACGGAGGCATCGGAACGTCGGTGCCCAAGTCCCTGCAGCCAGGTCCTCTCTTCCCTGCCACTGAGGCTACCTCCTCTCTCATTTTCTGCAGGCCCAGCTGGTCAAGGACCGGCACTCAGCCCTAAGGCTGGAGAGCCTGTACTCTGATGAGGAGGATGAGTCTGCAGCTGGGACTGACAAGATCCAGATGACATGGACACGGGATAAGTACATGGCAGCTGAGCCCTGGGACCCCAGCCATGCCCCTGACAACTTCCGAGAACTGGTGCATATTAAGCCGTGAGTGCCACAAAAATAGACCCAGCCACATCGGGGCCCGGGTGAAGGGTGGGCAAGCTCTGTGGGTAGGGCCCGTGATCAGCTGCATTACCTGCAGGGACCAGTCCAATGTGCGGCGCATGCACACTGCCGTGAAGCTCAATGAAGTCATCGTCACACGCTCCCACGATGCCCGCCTGGTCCTGCTGAACATGCCCGGCCCACCCAAGAACAGTGAGGGTGATGAAAACTGTATCCTTTTGTGGAGAGGCCAGCAGTGAGGAGGTGGACAGCCTGTGAGGTTACTCTGGGTGCTTCTGGGGGGGTGTTCCAAGTCACCCCAGTTCTGATTGATGCCCAAACTTCCTGGGTACCCTTGGTCCTGATGCTGTTTCTTTGACCTGATGACCTATAGACATGGAGTTCCTGGAGGTGCTGACTGAGGGCCTTGAGCGGGTGCTGTTGGTTCGTGGCGGTGGCCGTGAAGTCATCACCATCTACTCTTGAGCCCGATAGAGACTGTGGCCTAGAGTGGAGGTGTTCAGGGTAACACCCCCTCTAGCACCCATCTGCCAGTCCTGCTTTGCCTGGCCCTGCCCTAGACCCAGCTTTGGAGATTGGGCCTGGGCCTGGCCATGGAGAGGGATCCGGGGTCCTACAGGACCCTAAGAGGTTAAAGGACTCCCCCCACCCCCGGCCCCCCGATCAGCATCCTGGGAGGCCTGGAGAAGACTGGTGGGGGCTGACATTGGGTTTGAAGGCAGCCAACCCAGGAACGCTATTTATTGAATATTTATTGTTGGGATGTCACCATCAGAGAGAAGGGGAGGGGTGACGAGGGAGGGGGTCCTACCCAGCCCGCCTGCAGGAAGTCCTGGCTCAGATTACTGTGGGCAGGGACCCCCACCAAGCTGAGCTTAATGGAGCCAGCCAGCTGAAGCCTGACTTTTTTCAATAAAACATTGTGTACTTCTGGGCCTCCTGCTGCCCGAGCTCTGTTTCCCCTGGCGCCAAGGGAAAAAGGCGGAACTGAACCCAGGCCCAGAGCCTGCTCCAGCTCCAAGGCTGTGCCCCTTTCCCCACAACCTCTGGCCATAGTCATTGGCTAGACTGACCCTCCCACTGGCCCCGGGGCCCCTCCCACCGCCACTCCAGATAAGGCCAGCCCAAGACTGCTTCACTGGGCAGTAGGCACTAGGGCTGGAATGGGGCTGCCCGGTTCCCCATGGCAGTGGGTGCTGCTGCTGGGGCTGCTATTCCCCCCTGCCGCCTCCTTCTGGCTCCTCAATGTGCTGTTCCCCCCGCAAACCACGCCCAAGGCTGAGCTCAGTAACCACACACGGCCCATCATCCTCGGTAAGCCCCCACCAGGCCCCTGATGCACCAGGCCAGACCTTGGGGAGCCCGGGCCTCAGCCCCAGGTAGTCAACCCTGCCAAGGCCCTCTGCCCTTGTATTAGCCCTGATACCTACCTCAGTGGTCAGAGGGGCCAAAGGCTTGACCTGTAGAGAAGTCAACCCCTTCCCTCCACCACACTGTTCCTGTGTCTCTAAGTTATCTACCCCAGCTGGGAGGAGTGGGGGGGTGGGTGTGTGTGCCTGAGGGCTTGGCCAGGGTATTAGCTGCAGCCATTGGACCTTGGGCTAAGCCCCACCGCTCCTTCCTCAGCCCTCACCCCAGCAAGGACAAGATGCTCAGCTCAGGAGAGCAGGAAAGGCCCATCAAGGCCTGTCCCCCTATTCCCAGGCCCAGCCCCCACATCCCCATACCTATTTGTTCTCACCTTGGACTTCAGCAGTAATGGAAAGCCAGGCTAGGTGTTTGCTTTGCGAGGGCAGAGGTCAGTGGCCCTGGCCTCTGCCCTTTTCCTGCCTAAGGGGAGCGTGGCCTTTGCACTGCTGGGGGGATAGGTGGGAGAATGATTACAAAGAGGATTGTGTCCTTCGTCCCTGGGAGTTGAGGGTGTGGGAAATGTAGGCTGGTCACTGCAGTGGTGGAGGGTGGGTGTGAGGCTGGGATGGGAATCACGGGGGAAATCCGAGGAACCCAGAGTGAAGGCTAGTGCCCGCAGTGCCTGGCTGCCTGGGGAACCAGCTGGAAGCCAAACTGGATAAACCAGATGTGGTGAACTGGATGTGCTACCGCAAAACAGAGGACTTCTTCACCATCTTTCTGGATATCACTATGTTCCTACCCCTTGGAGTAGACTGCTGGATCGATAACACCAGGTACGGGCCATCCTCTCCGCCCCAGCCCCGCCCCCTCACCCTGCCTCTTGGCTGCTGACCTGCTGACTCTCCCATTGCCCGCAGGGTTGTCTACAACCGCAGCTCTGGGCGTGTGTCCAACGCCCCCGGTGTGCAGATCCGTGTCCCTGGCTTTGGCAAGACCTACTCTGTTGAGTACCTGGACAAAAACAAGCTGGCAGGTGTGTGGCAGGGGGAAAGGGTGGGGCTCCAGGCCGCGGTGGGCCTGTAGGGGCCATGGCCAGAGCCCCAACGCTGCTGCCTCCCCGACAGGTTACATGAACACCCTGGTGCAGAATCTGGTCAACAATGGCTACGTGCGGGATGAGACAGTGCGGGCTGCCCCCTATGACTGGCGCCTGGAGCCCAGTGAGTGTCTCTGCAGATGATGGGCTCGTGGCAGGGCCGGTGGCCCCTAACCCCCACTGCCCTGACCCAATTCACCCTCCTCCCTCCACAGACCAGCAGGAGGAGTACCACCAGAAGCTCTCTGGGCTGGTGGAAGAGATGTATGCTACTTATGGAAAGCCTGTCTTCCTCATTGGGCACAGTCTTGGCTGCCTGCACCTGCTCTATTTCTTGCTGCGCCAACCCCAGTCTTGGAAGGATCGCTTCATTGATGGCTTCATCTCTCTTGGGGCTCCCTGGGGTGGCTCCATCAAGCCCATGCTGGTCTTGGCCTCAGGTGAGTTCACCTGCATCCTGTGGTGGGATTGAGGGATGGAATAAAGCTGACCGGGGGCCTGTGCTCACAATGCCAGGTTGGGGGTGTGGTCTACCACCCATGGGGCATGGCCCTTGTCATTGGCCCCCCAAGAGTAGTGATCCTGGCCTGGACCATTAGAGTGGCTCCTGCCAAAATCTGTCTTAGTGATGAAAAAGTGAGAGTTTAACAGAAAATGAACCCAAGTAGTCTGGCTCACTATCCCAGGTTTGTTCCTGTAGTCTCAGGTCCTACCCACCCAGCTTTCTGCTGCCTCTGCTTCCAGGAGCTCCTTTGCCCAGGGATATGCCCTACTGAAGACAGATTTGCCAAAGCCAGGGCCAGACCCTAGGAGCCCCTCCTGCCCTTCCCTGGGGAGTGGCATAGCTACCACCTTTGTGCACCCACTGTCTGCTGGGCCCAGCCAAACTCAGTATTCCCTGTAGGGGAAGGAAGGAAAACCCTCTTCAGACTACATTAGTTAGTGTCAAATACAGACACGGTCTTGTGTCACCCTTCCTGACCCCTGTGCAGCATAGACTACAGGGCCAACAGATACTTGACTGAGAGAACTGCCAGCATTATCCCCCACCTTTGACACATACACATCCATCCTCAGGAAAACACACCCTGTCCTCCTTTGAGGCCCTACAGCTCTGCCTCACAGCAGTATCCGGGCTTATTTAATTAGGGGCCCAGTGCACAAATTCATGCACCTTGAAAGGAACTGTGAGCTGCGAGGCTGCAGTGGGCACAGGGCAGGTCTCAGCGCATCCTCCGTCCCTCCTGCCTTGTCCCCTTCCCCCCTCCCCCGTCCTGTCTGCCTGCAGCCCTGCTCCTGCTGCCGCAGCTCCCATGCACTGACAGCGCTGGCCCTGCTTGCACCCACTGATGGCAGTCGCCACTCAGGAGCCGGGCCGGTGGAGAAGCTCTCAGGGGTGATCGGGGCCAGCGCTGGGCGCCAGCAGTGGGTGCGAGTGCTGAGTGGGACCGAGGCACATGGGAGCAAAGAATTTTCAGTAACCACCAGAGGCTCGCCCCGATGACAGTGACCGGTGCCCCGCCTTGGTCTGGCGCCCCTGGTCACCTGCTCCACCATTCCGCCATGGCGGACGCCCGCCATGTTCTGCACTCTGCCACCTGCTGCCGATGCCTGCCATGTTCCATGCATGCCCCCTGGTGGTCAGCGCACATCATAGCGACCAGTTGTTCAGTCTATTTGCATGTTAATATTAGCCTTTTACTATATAGGATAAGCACACATTAAGTACCTACTGAATGCTGCTGGCCTTGCTCTAGTCTGGCTTGGAGTCAATGTTTAGATTAGGCTGGGACAAAAATGAGCATGCAGCTGAGCTTGAGCTGGGCAGCAAGATGTAGGCCAGGGGCAGCCATTTCTGGCTCCCTGCCCACCTTGCTCCATGTCCACAGGTGACAACCAGGGCATCCCGATGATGTCCAGCATCAGGCTGAAGCAGAAGCAGCGCATAACAACAACGTCCCCCTGGATGTTTCCCGACTACCGGGTATGGCCTGAGGACCATGTGTTCATTTCCACACCCAGCTTCAACTACACAGGCCGTGACTTCCAGCGCTTCTTTGAAGACCTATACTTTGAAGACGGCTGGTACATGTGGCTACAGTCACGTAGCCTGCTGGCAGGACTCCCAGCACCTGGTGTAGAAGTGTATTGTCTGTATGGCGTGGGTCTGCCCACGCCCCATACCTACATCTTTGACCATGGCTTCCCCTACACAGACCCCGTGAGCATGCTCCATGAGGATGGCGATGACACTGTGGCCACACGCAGCAGTGAGCTCTGTGCCCAATGGAAGGGCCTCCAGCCACAGCCTGTGCACCTGCTGCCTCTGAACGGGACAGACCACCTCAACATGGTCTTCAGCAATCAGACACTAGAGCACATCAATGACATCCTGCTGGGTACCTACCGACATAGCACCTCTGTACCCACAGCTGCTAGCCCAGGGACCCCGCCCCCTGAATAAAGATCATCCTTTGCTGCTGTAAGCCTTGAGATCTTTGTTGTGGGTTGAGGGGGAGACTAGGCTTCACACACCAGGATTCATTATCAGCAGCTGCAGGCCTGGTGCCTTGTGGAGAATAGGGCAAGAGGAGCTTGGCTAAAACCTAGAATTGAACTAGCCATCCTGAGATGTACAGCTTCCCGCTCTCCTGCTTGAGCTCTTAAGGCAGCCTGTCTCTGTGCCTGCTTCTGCTCTGGGCATGGAGACAGGTCAGCTGCACACACAGCTGTGCGATGGGGGCACATGGAGTCAAGGTTTTAGGATGGGTAAGATCTGAGCTGTCCCTCTCAGCTTTCAAAAGGGCAGGCAAGACCCCACCTCTAGACAGGACCTTTTGAGTGCAGGTGGGTGGCAGAAGTACAAAAGATTAGATTCTGGGGGAGTGACAGCCACTAATCAGATCATTTAGCTAATGAAGATTGAATTATTAATGGAGGCAAGTAGTCTGAGAAGGGTAACATGGGCCACTGAAAAGACTTGGGTTTGAGCCTAAGAGCAGTGTGCACTTGCTTTAACCAGGGAGAGTGTACCAGATTCCTTCTATGCAGGGTAGAGCTGCAGGGGAAGGTGGGCCAGGAAGTATGGGGAATCCAGGGAGGCCAGTGTAGTAGCCAGGAGACAGGATGCTAGCTGAGACTAAGCAGTAGTTAGGTGAAAGATGTGGATAGACAAAGGATCATTTGGGAGGTGAAATAAGGCTTGGCCATAGCATGCCTCCAAGCCACTAGATGGACAACCACCAGGCCCCTCTTGAGAGAGGAAAGACAGCACCTGAGATAAGGAAGATAAAAGGACCAGCATGATTGAGTTTCCATGTTGAGGTGTCTGGGTAGGAAACAGGAACAAAAGACAAGCAGAAGGCGAAGGAGTAAAAGAAGTTGGGTAAAGGAGGGTAACTAAGGACAAAAGGCCAGGCCTGATGCTGCTGGGAGGCCTGTGATAAGGCAGACAGAGACCTGGCAAAAGGTCCAACAGCCTTAACGTGCTGGGACTTGAAGTTAGACTGGGGATCAGAGGCAGAACTAGGGGCTCAGACTGGAAGGGGGAGGAGGAGCTGAACAATGGCCAGAAGGAAGGGGTTTGTCCCTTTGTTCGGAGGACCTAGGAGCAGCCTGGAGAGCCGGGCAAGGTGCATCATCCTCTTCCCAAGCTGCTTGGGACCAGAGGTGAAAGTGAAAGAGATGCACGACAAGCCAGCGTCCTCTAAGTTAAGGTGAAAGCGAAAGCAGGAAGCGTCAGACGTGGAGCCCTGCAGAGAACAGGCCTCTGCTTTTCTTGCTCCCGGCTGGTCCCACTCCTTTCACCAGCGACCACCCAGTCCCTGACCATCCTACGATGCTGCAAACAGAGCTAGAACCCCGAGGGGGTTTCTCCTTCGAGAACTGCCAGAGGTGAGGTGGGGGATGGCTGGTCCGGAGCTGCCTGCACTCCCCGTCAGGTCTTCTGAGCGTGGGAGCCCCGAGGGCCCTGTATTCCTGGTGGCGAAGGGCAGAGGGCACCAGGGGTGGGAGCACGTGAGGAAGATAGCCAGTGGTGGGCGACTTGGATTCCCGGGCTTACCCGGAGCTGAGGGCACCCGGGACGGAGTCGGGGGATATGAAGGGGGTCCCAGAAAAACCGAAACATGGGCTACTCTCTTCCCTTTCCAGAAACGCAGCCTTGGAACGCGCCCTCCCGGAACTGCGGGCCCCTCATGCCCGCAAGACCGGGACCACCATCGCGGGCCTTGTGTTCCGAGTGAGCGTGGGGTCGGGGCCGGGAGGCTTAGCCAGGCGGGCGGGGATGGGCAGGCCCTGAGCCAACAGCCTCCTTTCCCCTCCCCAGGACGGGGTCATCCTGGGCGCGGACACGCGGGCCACTAACGATTCGGTCGTGGCGGACAAGAACTGCGAGAAGATCCACTTCATCGCGCCCAAAATCTAGTGAGAACCCCCAGCCCCGTTCTACCACACAAGAACCGCACCCCTAGTTCCCATCCCCTGCCCCCCCATCCTAGCCCCGCCCACACCGACCCTCCCTTCGCCCTCAGCTGCTGTGGGGCTGGAGTAGCCGCGGACGCCGAGATGACCACGCGGATGGCGGCGTCCAACATGGAGCTACACGCGCTGTCCACGGGCCGCGAGCCCCGCGTGGCCACGGTTACCCGCTTACTGCGCCAGAAGCTTTTCCGGTGCAGAGGGCGGGGCTAAGATGGGCCTGGGGCGGGGCCGTTGCGGGATGGGCGGGGCTGAGAAGGTGGTACGGGGAGGGGGAGGGGCGGGGCTGTGAGGTCCCGGGATACCGGAAGAGGCCAGCCTGAGGAGTTGGGCAAGGGAAGGAGCGCTGTCAGTCAGACGCCCGATCACCGGAAGAGGCGGGGCTCGGGTCAGGAGGAGTGTAGGGAGTGGGGCCCGGGTCCCAGTGCTTGCGAGTGACCACGCCCACTCCGCGCCAAGGTACCAGGGCCACATCGGTGCTTCGCTGGTCGTGGGCGGCGTAGACGTGACCGGACCGCAGCTCTACAGCGTGCACCCCCACGGCTCCTACAGCCGTCTGCCCTTCACGGCCCTGGGTGAGCGGTTCTGCGGGTCCCCACGTACCCCGCCCCTGGGACCCGTTTGCCCTGCGTTGGGCGGCGGGCTTACCTTAGACGCCCCTTCTGCCTGCAGGCTCCGGCCAGGACGCGGCCCTGGCGGTGCTGGAGGACCGGTTCCAGCCGAACATGACGGTGAGCGACACCTGACCCCCACTACGTGGTCATGGGTGGGAAGTGCACCCGGGAGCTGGGGGAGCGCAGAGGGACCCTGGCTGGTCTAGAGGTCAGGGAAGGCTTCTCAGAGGAGGCGGCGACTGAAAGGAGACCGAGGGAACCGGTGGAGTGAGGGGAGAGGAGTGCTGTTTTCCAACAGACCACCGTCAGCGCCAGTGTTAGGCTTCCTGGAGAAGTCAAAGCTCGGAGAGGACTGGGGCTGAGGGAGGAAATGGCAGGTGGGGTCTGGAGTCTGCATTTTGTTAGGGGTGGGATGGAAGTGGATGAGGTAAGACCCAGAAAGAGAAAGATCCGGTGGATTGGGGGCCAGATAGGCCACTGGAATCAGGGCCAGGAAAGTGCTCAGAGAAGTTTGTAAAGATGGGGACAGTGGGCAGTGGGAACAGGAGGGGGAGAGGGAAGCAGACCAGGGAAGGGGAGTTTGGAGTGGAGATGGGGTAGAGGGGGAGAGAGGAGTTTGTGTGTGAGCAAAGGATAAGCAGTCTGGGCTTCACGATTAACAAAGCCCCCAGGCTGTAGCCTGCGGGTGATGCCAGAAGAGTCCATCAGACCTCACACACACATCGCCACAGCTGGAGGCCGCGCAGGGGCTGCTGGTGGAAGCCATCACTGCAGGAATCCTGGGTGACCTGGGCTCCGGGGGCAGTGTGGATGCATGTGTGATCACGGGGACCGGCGCCAAGATGCTGCGAACACTGAGCTCACCCACAAAGCCCATAGAGAGGTGGGAGCAAGGGAGATGTGGGACCACAGGGGAGGATGGGCTGTAGCAGGGAAGGTTGGGGGCTGCAAGAGGACAGGCCACATAATGGGCCTATATTGAGAGGCCATTTCTCCTCCATCCCAGGCACACCCAGTACCGCTTTGCCCCTGGGACCACAGCTGTCCTGTCCGAGACAGTGAAGCCACTGCCCCTGGAGCTGGTGGAGGAAACAGTGCAGACCATGGAAGTGGAGTGAAGTAAGCTGAAGCTTAGAGCTTGGAACAACAGGGAATAAACGCAGAAAATAGACACCTGAACAGATGGCTATGTTGTTCTTGGGAAGAGGGTACGAGCAGCTAGCAGGGATCTGTGGCTAAGGTATCTCTGCAGGAGCCACTCCCTCCTACGGCTCCAGTGTCTGGTCTAAGAGGTGCCCTTCAACTCATCACCCTAGGCATCTACCCTCCTCCAGAACCTCAGCTCTGGCAAGCATTGAAGACTCAAGGTGGAGCCCTAGCTGGTTTGGCTCAGTGGATAAGAGTGTCGGCCTGTGGACTGAAGGGTCCTGGGTTCAAGTCTGGTCAAGGGCACATACCCGGTCTCAATCCCCAGTAGGGGGTGTGCAGAAGGCAGCCAATCAGTGATTCTCATCATTGATGTTTCTATTTCTCTCCCTCTCCCTTCCTCTCTGGGGAAAAAAAAACACACACAAAAACTCAAGGTGGAAAGCCCCACCCTGACTCCACACCATAGAAGTCCGCCTACCACTCCTACACCTTGCTCTTACCCTATAGTCCATTGGGGACTGTTGTAAAACCCAAAAGTCCCCAAGTACTGCCCTCACTTAGAGCCTTTGCCTGGCTCATTGGTAGCCCAGGACAAAGCCTACATCTCTCAGTCAAGCCCCCTTCCCCACCGGATGCCACTGAGGGCAAAAGTGCTGATAGAGGCCTTAGCCGGTTTGGCTCAGTGGATAGAGCATTGGCCTGTGGACTGAGGGGTTACGGGGTCGATCCTCAGTAGGGGGCATGCAGAAGGTGGCCGATCAATGAGTCTCTCCCATCACTGATGTTTCTGTCTGTCTCTCCCTCTCCCTTCCTCTCTGAAATTAAAATGTATAATAAAAAAAATAAAGTGCTGATAGAGGAGCTGCTCCCTGATTCCAAGGGCAAGTTCTCACAGAGCACTCCTCACCCCGTTACACCTTTAGCTGTGAAACCCCTCCAAAGCCAGGCACATCTGAGGTGCTAACATGAAGTTGGGTTGTGAGTAGGGACATTGACTCCAAGTTTCTGGGCTGACAGGGGTTACAGTGCTCTTGTGGGGACATATGACACAACACATTTATCCAACAAATCTTTGCAGAGCACCCACTGTGTGCTAGGCCCAGGTGCTGAGTGCTGGTAGCAGCATCCTGCCCTCAGAATGGCTGAGCTCCATTGGAGCTTTGCAACTGCCTTACCTCTCGGGGAGGGTCTACGCTAGGCTGGACATCTATGGACCCCTGATTGTGCCCCCCCCCCCCACATTT